GTGTATTTATATATATAGTATAAAATACACAAAAAAAAATATATATATATATATATTGGTGTATTTTATACATATATAGATATATACGTAATATACTTATATATTATATGTATAATGTATAATATTGATAAATTTGATAAATACTTCTAAACTAATATATTATGAGGGTAATAAACTAAAATATTAAAATAAGGTGATATATTTTACTGATATTATATTTAATCTAAATACAGGTTGTGGAGAACTTTGACGAAATGAACTTGAAAGAAGAACTGTTACGTGGTATTTACGCTTATGGTTTTGAAAAACCATCTGCAATTCAACAACGTGCCATCCTACCATGTATACGGGGGCTCGATGTTATTGCTCAGGCCCAGTCTGGTAAGAAATTTTGATCTAGATCAATTTATTGATAACAATATTATCTTGAAAATATAATATGTAAAGTATTTATTGTATATTATATCAATCAATGTTTCTAACTATCAGGTACTGGAAAAACTGCTACGTTCTCCATATCGATTCTTCAACAAATCGACACTAGTATTAAAGAATGCCAGGCCTTGATCCTTGCACCAACCCGTGAATTAGCTCAGCAAGTAAGTAGAGCTCATTAGAAATATTTATTTTAATAAAAAGTTATATTTAATAGAAAAGATGTAGAATTCTAATAATATATGTTATGTATTTTTAGATCCAGAAAGTCGTTATCGCTCTAGGAGATTTCATGCACGCGGAATGTCATGCATGCATTGGTGGCACCAACGTTCGTGAAGATATGCGAAAACTGGATCAGGGTGTTCACGTGGTTGTCGGTACGCCCGGTAGAGTTTACGATATGATCAGCCGACGAGCACTTCGAGCAAGTAGCATCAAACTGTTTGTGCTGGATGAAGCTGATGAAATGCTTTCTCGAGGATTTAAGGATCAAATCCACGATGTATTCAAATTATTACCTAACGAAGTGCAGGTAAATATAAAAAAGATATTTTTGAGGAATGTAGATTTTTTATTACAATTATCTAATAGATAATTTTATTTTAATTGTTAGAAAGTATCTTTTTTGGACAAATCCACAAATCATACAAGACGAAAAAGTTGCAGTGTATCTTATAATAGTCAAGTTAACAAATATATTATAAAATACAGGTGCGTCGTAATAGTGTCATTTTTTGACAGATGTACACTGGATTGACATATGCTCTGTATCATGAAATGTGTTATTTTTTAAAAATAATAGCGGCCTAAATGCAAACAATTATTATGGCATAGCACTCCTAATAATAATAATCATAATGTCCTAAAAATCAATTAGTCACTCTTAATATCTTTGTAATAGCAACAACAATTTACAATTCCTATTACAGCATGATGCTATTATATTGCACATACATGTATAGTATAACATCTCAGTAAACGCAGTTTATTTCTTTCATCGACATATATAATATTGATCATCACATTGTATCGAAACATGGTTTCTTGTATACAATTTCAGCCTTTATATTTCTAATGCTTTATAATTATCTTTTCCAGGTTATATTATTATCTGCGACAATGCCATCTGACGTGTTGGATGTATCCAAATGTTTTATGCGGAATCCTATTCGTATTTTGGTTAAGAAAGAAGAGTTAACATTAGAGGGTATTAAACAATTTTTCGTTTACGTTGAACGTGAAGATTGGAAATTGGAAACTCTTTGCGATTTGTATGATACATTAAGCATCACCCAAGCGGTTATTTTTTGCAATACGCGGCGTAAAGTCGATTGGCTAACAGAAAGTATGCATAAACGTGACTTTACTGTTTCCGCCATGCATGGAGATATGGAACAGAAAGAACGCGATCTTATTATGCGTCAATTTCGAACTGGATCTTCAAGAGTTTTGATTACTACTGATCTTCTGGCACGCGGTATAGATGTGCAGCAAGTGTCACTTGTTATTAATTATGATTTACCTTCGAATCGAGAAAACTATATTCATCGGTAAGTTATTATTTGATACTTTGTAATCACAATCTTGAAAACGCAATATATATTTTTAATTCATTTGAACAAAGCAGAAATTTCTAATAGCAAAAAGAAATAGAAGAGCAAAAACTTATGTTAAAAATATATATAATATAAATTTTATATATGTGTAATATAAATTTTATTTTATAAGTTTTATTTTCAAACAATTTTATCAACAATTATAATCTTTTGGAATATTATATTTTGACATTTCTTTAAATTAAAGTCATGGATATATTTTTTAGAATAATAGTATAATCTTTATGTTGAAAGAGAGAAGATATACATACTTCATGTTTTATCTATTAAAATATTAGAATTAGTGATACCACCAACATGTTCATGTATAATTTGCGTTTAGTTTTTTTATGTATGTATATATTTATATTTAAAAATTTATGTAGATATTTATATCTTTGTTACTTTATTATTTACAGAATCGGTCGCGGTGGTCGTTTTGGTCGTAAAGGTGTGGCCATTAACTTTGTGACAGAAGAAGATAAACGAACCCTGAAAGATATCGAGCAATTCTACAACACTCACATCGATGAAATGCCAATGAATGTCGCTGATCTGATCTAAGTCCGACTATTGGCTATAATCCATTATACTAAAAAAAATAATAAAAAGTAAGTGACAGAAGCTCTCAGCTGATCGATCTCTCATGGTGTGTGAGTATATATATTGAGTGAGTTGGTGAACTATATCGCTTATGTAAACGCGATCTAAACCAAAATATTCCAACGTTTTCATATTCGTTTCGATTTATAATAGTAGGTTACGGAAATAGTTATCTGTTGCGCTACAGGAGATAGTATATATAGTACGACTATTATTACTATTAGTGTAATTATCACTACTGTTGTCGCTACCGATATTGCTGCCGCCGCTGCTGCTACTACTCTTATTCTTATCGTTACCGCTATTAATATTACTATAAATATTATATTACTATCATTGGTATTACGGTATTGATTGCTATATCAATATTTTAATTTTAATTTTTAACAATAATATAGCGATATATTACGACTAAAAATATACCACAAAGTGGTAAATAGAACTAGGAAAATACGAAAAGCGCAGCTCGGCGCAATTTGATTATACGTTATTTCTACTATCGCAACAAGTTTTATATTACTCAAAATGCGTCCATATTCTTATTCTGTCGCAAATCCAATGGCCATCATAAAAATCTTCAAGTCTTGCTTTCTAAGACTTTTTGTCCCACTTATTTTTCCCCACGATATTTCTAATTGGATGATTAAATCTGTTGTGTTTAATAGTTTATATTTCATGCTTCTATCACCGCGATTACAACTTGTTTGTCTAGGCAGAGGTTTAGTTGGGTATTGGAGGGGGTTCTTTAATCACAAGCGTTGCCGAAGGAGACGTATATTCAAGCTTAGATGATATGAATTTTGTATATCCTAAATCCCAGGCGCACACACCTTTATTATTAAATAAAGTGTTTGACCTTTTAAGAAAATGTGGTCTTTGTTATTACAAGTCTTTATTGTCTTTCTTATCAAATTTTATCCAATTTCACAATGAAAACCCTGAATGGACAAACTGTGTTATGAGTGAGATTTTCAAATTTTCGAGTGCTCCCACGTTGGGAATAAGTTTTGCGGTATATATACCGAAAAAGTTCTCACAATTTTCTTTTATTTGTATTTGCAGGCAGTTTTGGACAGTCCAGATGTGGGCGACATATTTTTGGAAATAAAGACCAGATTTCCTGATTCAAAATCGAAGTTTTGTAAATCGATTACCTCTCTAAACTCCTGCCTTTCGTGTAGGCTATAATAATATATGTACATTTTCTTTTTTTCTTTTTTATACTTTTACATTCTTATTGATAATGAAAGCTGATCAATTCTTAGATTTTTTTACATTTGTCAATACAATTCTTTGCAAACATTCTTTATCGCATATTCATAAGTTTCCGTGCACATATCAATGCCGAATATTAAATTAAAATGTTATCTGCCTTGTGAGAACTTTTGTATCGTGTTTTTACAAAATTATTAAAAATATTGCGATATCATATACTCTATTGTCGTCATTAATCGTAAATTTGCAAGTGTTAATAATAGTTTTCGAAAATTTGAGTGAGTAAATCATGTAGGTGCTTAAACACATTTTATAGCTACTGATTTGTGATTGCATTAACATTAATTCCTCTTGCTCGCGCATGTGAATGCATCCTATGTTAATGCAAAGTCATCTCGAATTTCCGAAAACTAATTCTTAAAAATACTGTAAATATTATATAAATAGACCTTGAAGGAATGGACCATTGTGTGTCTATTGTATTTATACATCATATAAATAATATTTATAACTGAACGTATAAACTGAATATAATAAACGTAACTGTCCTTTATTTATACTTGTATTATCAATACCATTAAGTGAACTGCTATTATTCGAATAAACATATGTTTTATATATATATATTATATATATATAAAATCATACTTAAAATTACGAAAAATTCTGTAATCGTTTATCGATGCAAAATGAAATTAATATGCGTTATTTTAAGAATACTTGAAG